GAATATCAAGTTGAGGAACAAGGCGTAGGTGAGAAATGAATATTGGGGAGTCTTGCAATACACAAAATCATGAATTTTCTTTTGTAACTTTTTATTGGTATAATTAAAACTCCCTCGAAACCTTTAATCTACGGAGATTTCTTATATATAATAATGGTATTTTCTCATGAATCCCACGTAGTATAATTAGTTGAAATGAAAAGACTAATTTTAACCCATGAGTAAGCTGTTTGCAATAAAAGCTTGAAGCCTGCGCATACAGATTCACTCAAACGTAGGATAAGTATAGTACTCCCGGAGTATGTGATCCAAGATGGCGGACACCGAAGCGTAGTATGTGTACCAGGTTAGGGTTAGGCCATATTTTCAGGTACAAATACTACGGTAGTCACTTGTTTAGTCTCCGAACTCGTGATAGAACTAAAATAGGGAAAATTAGAATAAAATTATGGCCTCACGCTAACCTGGCGCACAAACTACGTTCCGGTGTCCGTTATCTCCGATCACATACTTTGGGAGCACCAAAATGCAAACGGAGGAAATCGGATGCCGAATGGATATTTACAACTTATCATTTAACATCAATGAAAATAATTTGAACCAACTAACAGCACTGGCGGATGCTGATGATAAATATTTTGGGAGATTGTTGGTAACTTTTCCAATACCTTGATCGGGGAACGCAAGATTTATAAAATCGTCTCTTAATCTCAATTTATAAAGAATATTTATTAACTTGGTAGATTAGCCTGGAGATGAAGTAGAATTGAAATCAGCCGTCCCTGTTTAGGCTGACAATCAAGTTGATAAAACTAATATTATTTCTCTGACCAACAAAATATAGATGGAAAGACTCGAGATGTCACTGTTTTGACCTAATTTGGGTGCTCCCGAAGTATGCGCACCAAGATGTCGCATAACCCGAACCCTAACCTGATACACAACCTCAGTTCCGGTTGTGCGCCATTTTGGTGCCATACTTCAGGAGGTCCCTAATTCGACTAGTACGTATTTAAGAAAATGGAAAATTCAAATCTTTTCATGAAATATAAATTGAAGATACTGAGAAAACTGACTTCAATTAACAGTCGCTGAAACTATTCATTTATTTACATTTATAGGACCGGCGGTAGTTCAACAACTGTCCCAACAGACGGTTCAACAACTCACAGCAGCAATAGGTGGACAAGCTGGCAATGTTATAGAATATCACCAACACGTTCATTATTACGGGGCCCCGGTTTATCAAGGCTCAGTAATAAAAGGAGACATCGTGGGGTGAGTAATCAGCTTTGATTCTGAAATGTTATTTCAAGAATTGAAAAATCCAAGCATTTTGCCGCTCTTGCCATATTCCGAAGATTTTGCAACTTCTACTACTTGATTTTGTAAAGATGTACTTCCTTTCATACACAAGCATGCATTTTGTTATGGTATAAGAAAAAATTTACAGTCAATTGTTAATTAAATACGTACAAAATTCATCATTTAGGTTTTAGGGCATGATTTTTTCAACGATTTTTTTAACAGTATAGTTGCAATCGTGTAACCTTTATTTAAAATTATTGTATTCGTCAAAGTCAGCCAAATGTAAAGTTTAGCCCCTATGGGAAAAATAAGCAGACATTTTACTTAGCATGGCAGCCGATGAGACATGTTATGGTATACGTTGATATGTACAACGGCTGCACGGGCGCTGTGAGACTAAAACAAACAAAGGAGTGGCATTTCCTCGTGCGAAATTAATGACGCGTACTAATGCAAACATTGTCGCTTGTCGAGTCTGGCATATCCTCCGCCACTATTAAAAATAGAATCACCACTTTCAGCCAGATATTATTCACGTCCTAAAAACTTCCACTTTTTTGGAGATACGAATCAAATGATATTCACGTCAATGAAGCGACTGTCAATTCACCCAACTTAATACATCCACTACATTTATTATGACAAAGAGCGTGAAAAACAGACTCTTTAAATGAATTTTATTCAATTTATTTTTTTATCTTTTCAGGTCGAAAGCTCAAGTAAAAGACGCAACAATTGGATCTATTGGTGGTACGTATTGTTTAAAATTGAGTGAACTTGGCCGAAGTCAATCAATGACCAAATTCCATAAAAATCAAAATTTGGGTTAAAACAACGATTATTTTCAAAAATAATTTCTCAATTAAAATTTCCACTCATTTTAAATATTCTTTTTGTTGATGAAATTCAAGGCAATAATATTTGCAAGGGAGCAATGTAGAAATATACAGACACTCCTCACTTCGGTACCGAAAACACCTTTTAGTTGAGCACCGCGTTTGTTGAATATCTCTGCGATCGTGACGCCATAAAGTGCTCCTTTACGTCACAAAAGTCCCATGGGCTGCAAAGGCGTCAGATTAACTTGGAAATAAAAGTGACCAGTTCTCCATCAATCTTTGAGTATTCACAATTTCAACTGTTTGGTCTGATAGTTGCCGCGGAAAGTCAAACAATAACATTAATGTTATGACACATTCAACTGGTGTCAGACTATTTGTGAAAAGATTGGCGATCTATGGTGACGAATCAAAGTGTTCCCATACTCCCACAGTTGTTCCCATGTTATAAATTTGGACAAAATATGGGTCCTGTAGACCTCAAAAATTTTGAAAAAAAAGGGAACTAAAAACCTCTCTAGCGACTCTTCTGGTACAATTTTGGAGCTCCATAGGTATATTCACTTGGGTAACACTGACAGTCTCCGAACTCTTAATGGAACTAATATATGGAGAATCGAAATAAAACTATGGCCTTACCCTAACCTACTACTATGGCAGTACCCAATTTGGAAATCGACTAGTCCAATATTTCCATAGAAAACGATTTTCAGCTGCAACAACCCCAATACCTGTTTATTTAAAATTATCCCGGCCTTATAATGCAAATTAAAAAAAAATATACGTTTGTTTCAGGATCACAACCTCCAGCAATCGGTGGCCCAGGGGGACAAGCAGCTTTACCTTGGCTTGGTGAAGGAGCATCTGGTAGTTCTCAGGTACCTGCAATAGGTGGTCCCGAACAACGACCTGCTTTACCTTGGCATGAAGAAGGAGAAAGAGGAGGTTTGTGTTAGATTTGCTGTGATACATCCAACTTACGAACCGTTTAATGTCTTGGGTCCCCTGAAGTACCAGTACGCGCTGCAAGTATTTCTAGTTTGTCTGGCTCAACAATTTTTGCATATGTCATTCCTAACCCCCACCTGACTATGTCATCCGAAAATTACATAACTTCGAAGTCCCAGTGACGTAATACGGCCCTCCAAATTATACGGAAAATCGGCAGACAATCATCCGAAATCGAGCAAGCTATTTTTCTCGTTGAAACAATACCGATAAGAGAGAAATCGCTGACGTTAGTGAATTCATTATAGTCGGCACAGATGCCATTTCGGACGATCGTAGTTAAACTTTAGCAAGCTCTAGGACGTGATCGTGACGTCGCAGTGATGTAATTTTTGGGATGACGTACCCCAGGTGGGTTAGGAAATATTATACCTGAATAAGATCGTTATGCTAGCCCCACTAGAAGTACTGTGAGGGCGCGATACTTCAGGAGTACCCAAGGGTTTTTACAATCCCGGAAATGGTCTGAGTTTTTGGACGAAACGTGGAAAGCGTTAGAACTACACTATATCAGGGCAATCGGCTGATTACAGATCTCAAGTTCAAATTCTGCAGTGGTCCTACCTCACCCAAAGATGTAAATAAATTTGGTACAATGGCCCGTGCTCGAAGAGTTTTTGGCCTACAAGTCATTTCAGTTATTTACAATTTTGTGTGGATATCAATTAGCTGGCTTGCACACAGGCGTTGTTCAGAGCGCAATGCGTGAATTAGCGTCATGTAAAACATAGGCTGAAAATCTGTGGATACGAGGCCAGCACCTTCACAAAGCTGTGAGTAGGGATGATTGTGGAATGTTATGAGCTTGAAAGATTCTCAACCCTCCGCATTTAAGCTTTCTTCTTATCAGTGGCCTCATTAAGCCTTATTTGAAGGCGAGAAATATCTCATAATAATAAAATATGAACCGAAATCGGGGTCGTAGAATTTGACTTTCATCCATTGATTTTGGAGTCGGAAACTAGATTCGTGTTTTAAAACTTCCAAGTGTTGAAAATAAAGAGAGAATTTTTATCGAAATCTCAGATCAATAATTATGATCAAAGAAAATATTTTCGACAGAAACTTTTAAATTATTTCACTAAGTTTTTTAAACCGAAAATTGAAGACAAAGTAACGTACTCAAAATCTGTTCTTTTGGTTTAAGCCAAAGTAATTTTATCACCCACAGTCATTTTTGAAATAGTTTGTAACTTTGAAAGTAAGCTGGCAGTTAGTATGAAATTGACAGCCCCTTTCTAATATGTTTTGTAAATTTTTTCAATGCTTTTTTTTTTGTTGTCATAGCGCTCCATCCTGGTAGTAAGCCGACAGCCAGTATATAATTGACAGCCCATTTCTATTGCGTTTTTGTCCAATTTTTTTAATGCTACTATTTTGTCATAGCGCTCCATCCTGGTGGTAATCAACTTCTTGCATTGCCCGCACCAGAAGCGCAGATATCTTCATCAGGGAACGAACAGCCTGAAGGGATCGAGGCGACAGTGCCAACCAACGAACCAGAAATATTGGATCCAATAAAGCCGAAGAAAAAATCAAAGAAAAGGCCAAACAGAGCAGGTGAAAATAGCATTGTTATGCCATAAATACCCTGAAGATTTTATTGCCAAGTGGTGGTTCAAGTATTTTTAAAGAGAGCAAAATTCTAAATTCTGCGAAACCTTCCGAGAATATATTTAAGGCCGCCTTCCAAAGGCCTACAAAGCATCTCACAGAACCTTTCAGGTGAAACTGAATAATCGTCGAATTAATACACAATATAATTCTCTTTTAAAAGGTAATTTGGATATGATTCAGATGATCGTATGATTTTTGTCATTTTACTACATTTTTTATTATATTCAGGTTCCAATCGAGATCCAGAGCCTGTTCCTACTTCACGTTCATCTGTGGAAAGACGTTTCATTGACGAAGAGACATTGAATGCTAATGTAACACCACCTAAAGTAGTTGGTAAGTGCCAATATTCGACGTAGAAATATTCCCCAAAATTACCAATCAGTCCCAAAATTCAGCCTATTCATCCTTCATCTTACATCAGGGGTCGGCAACCTACATCCCACGGGCCGGATCCGGCCGCGGAGTACTACAATCTGGCGCGCGGCGCTTCTCAGAATTATAGTAACAAAACAGCTGTTTTGACGATTATACTCTTTATGTAACAAAATTTATTGTGAGACTAAATTATATTATAATCTAACAAGTATAAATTCAAAAATCAAAATTAGATCCTTTTTATCATAAGAATCAAATAATCAAAATGGCAGACATTTATAAAATCCAGGTACTGAAACTCATGCGCCAACATATTAATAATAAACTGCCTGCTTTTAAACACTATTTTGTCAAACAAATGAGTGTTCACTCTTATTCAACTCGTTCCACTGCCAATAGCTCTTACTATGTGCCTTGCTTTTCCACCAATCGTTCACAAAGCTCTATTAAATTCATCGGTGTGAAACTTTGGAATACGCTCCCAGACAGACTTTGCTCTAAGATTTATAATTCATTCAAAAAAGCACTTAAATGTCTTCACTTGGATTCTTATATCTGTCAGTAGTCTGGCAGAGTTGGAATGTATCTCAGACTGTTTGAAACTCACTTTGTCAAACAATGTGTGCTATCTTTATTTGTCCATATTCTCATAATATGCTAGCACCTGCTTTGTATTATTATTATTTGCTCCTCAATGCTGTGATATACTCCAATATTATGTGCTTTTCACAGAGCAAATTAACTCAAGTATGACTTTTTTCTCACTGGAGTAGCACTGGAGTATCTTACCTTTATTTACTCAAGATTCCTTAATAGGTTGGGTATTTATTCTCCTTATTGATTTCCATTACTGTTATATTATTTTTTATAGCGTGTGCTCCTTACAAGAGTCACTTCACAAAATAACTGTAATATGAACTCTCTCGACAAAGACAAAATTCAATAATATTCTGTTATTTTTTTATAGTCGTATTTCCCGTAACAGGCCTTTTCCAACAAAGTCAAAATTCAACAATATTTGTTACTTTCATTAATAGTCATTGTTTCCTCAACATGTCTTTCCACCTTTGTAGTTCAATTCATATGTTATATTAGTAGTTCCACTGCTGCTGCAGGGAATTCCCCTAGTAGTCAACATCGTTATGCTACGTCACGTACGTCAGCATTTTCTTGTTGTGGGCGTGCTCGCTGGAGCATGACGTTGAGTTGATCTAGTTAGTCAATACTTTATTTACTGAATCTTCCGTTCTCACATACTTTTTAGTTCCCAAATTGTTTCAATTATTTTTGCTGATTTACTTCTGTATTGTTTGACTTAGGCTGCTTCTATAATGGTGTCGCTGACATGATGACTTTTGATAGTCTTTTCGCGGCCCCTCGTCCATTGCAGATCAAATATTGTACTTTTTTCTTTCAATGAATTTATTTAATTTTTACCATTTGTTTAAATGTACAATGTTTTTGCACGACGAAAAATAAATAGTTGAATCTGAATTCACAATTACCTAATAAGCCTATAATTTAAATTTAAATTAGACAAATGGCAACAAAAGGCATAACTAAGTGCAAAGGGTTCAATGGCGCCGGAAATATTCAAATGGAATTTTTTTTTTGAATAAATCTGTATTCTATTCGAGAGATGTATCACTGCTTGATTTTAATATAAAAAGTATCATCTATTCGGTTTTCAACTTTCTAAAAATATGTGCTGCCCGCCAATGACTTGCAACCTTAACTTTGGCCCGCGAGCGACAAAAGGTTGCCGACCCCTGCCTTACATCATATGAAAAATATTCCCATGACTTAGCATAAAACAGCAACATTTTTGATGAAGATTCTGCCTCTCAGAATTCATAAAAATTTGAATGAAAATATTGCCGCCTAGCGGTTTCCACCATCTTCAAGTTTTGAAAATTTGGAATTGATTGATCCAGTAGTCTAAACAACCAACGTGTCCACTTTGTTTGTATTCGATGAGGCCTCAAAAATAGGGAATTCATAACACTCAAATAAATGTTATTGGCGAAGTCAGATGGTCATAAATTATTTTTTTACACTTTTTGATTTTTGCGAATCATGATATAAATATATATAGATATTGATTAAATGGCTCCATTAGTGGTGACGTCATTAAATTTTAAATCCTTCTGCTTGAACCCAAAATTTGAAATTTTGTTCTGGTGGGGTTAGTCGCTGCGCAAACACTACTCTTCACTTTGTTTTGCTTCAAATTTAAATACTTGATTTACATTCAGGAATCCCCACTGCTTCAAATCCAGAAATATCAGGAGCATTCCCACTAATTCCACCTGAACCTTCGAATAGACGAGATGCAAACGGTCCATCTGTAGCAAGCCCCAAAACAACAGGTATAAATATCTAACTCAATTATATTTGGTTTGTTGTGTATTTCATTAGTCCTTATGCTCTATCACAACGATGGCCAACACGTCAATCGCCACTTCGTGGGTAGTCGTTCTCGTCTGGTTGCGAAAATTTGATAATATACCTAGAAAAACTGCCTTGAACCAGTTTCATGCAGCGCGTGTTGTGTGTTTTTAATCAGGAATAATACAGTACTGCGCACCGCTAAATACGATATATACCAGGGGTGGCCAACCTTTCACATACCATGCGCCACGTTTTAAACATAATGTTTCAGATGCGCCGTAAATCTCACGCCTAATGTCCGCTTCTTGCCATGTTTCAAGTAAAAACTACAGCCTTCCTGAAAGTAGGAGAAAAACGCATTCTGTCTTATGAGCATTACGCAATAAAGCTGTTTTTAACAACGAAGAGAAAAAGGTACGATTAAGAAGTAAAGTTAGGCGTAATATTGTGACAACAGGCCTTTAGTATCAATATCTACTCTACTCTACCCTCGATTCTAATTGGCCTTTGCTAATCAGCTGTTTGGCCTAGCGTCGCGGGATTTTACTCCAGGCTTCTTCGAGATTAGTACTTGCGTCACAGCAAGCAATTTTACGCTTCGCTTTTGTTGACAACGGTCATTTGAAGTTTGGATGAAAAAGGTGGTATTTAGGGGTCAATTTCAGCATGTTGTGGGTTGATTTATAATAAACTTTTTAGGCTTGGGCAATTCAACTGGTTGTTCAATGGTTATTGGGAGATATTTGGGAAGTCTGGGCAATGGGAAATCCATGTTTCAAGCTGATAAATGACGATTTTCTATTTTTCCAGAAGTTCTGAACTTTTTACTTCAGTAGGGAAAAAATAGTAAATTTTACTAATTTTTGCTAAAAGTCTAGAATGAATGTCATAAAGTCCGTCCAAAAGCTAACGTCGATAATCGCTTGTTGTTTCTAATTCCAACAAGCCGTAAGTGGCCACGGCTTGGCGTGGAGAAGCCAAGTGCAATTAACAATTTTGGCATGGAAAGGGTTAAAGATGCAATGCGCCACCTCTAATCATGCAATGCGCCACGTTTGGCGCATGCGCCATAGGTTGGCCACCCCTGATATATACACACTGTATAGTGCCTGATCCCGGGCGAGACTGACAGAGTACCGGTATATTATTACGTAATAAAAGAAAGTTTTGCCGTTGCCGAATATCGTGTGCCTTGACTTGCGAACGATCTTACAATAACTTCTGCAGTATGCGAAAGTATTTGTTTCACTCGCAGTGGCATCAGAATGGCCCATTTTTTTTTATTCCAGGCGAGTGGATAATCGGACTCGATGGAAATTGTAAGTTAGAAAGTTCGAGCTGTCATAGTTTGGGAATATTTTTTTTTTCACCTGCAATGTTTTTTAAGGGGTTTTTATCACTTACAACTAAAAATTAAGCAGGTCTTAAGTTTGAATGGGCAGTTACGCCGGGTACAATTACATATTAAATTTAACAAATTAGATGGGACGTAGAAAAATATGGCGATTTCATTAAGAATGCGCCCGAAGAATTGAGCTTGGCAGTGGCGGAATTTCTTGTATGTGTGTGTGCAATTATCGGAATATTCAAATTAATTTGTTGTGTAAGATCTCATTACCGATCAGTCGATCACGAGCTATTTTTAGGATTTTAGTCGATCGCAGTCGCAAGTAAGTTGGCCTCCCTGCAGTCCATCACAGAACTTGGCTTTGTGCAGGCATATTTCCACAGGTAGAAGAACATTAATTGAACGTTAATTAATTTTAACATGTTACAGTAGTTTCGGCATCAATTTCGGCATTCCAAACCCAATCGATACCGGGCAGGAAATTTGAACCTGTCTTTTTAAAATATCTCTGAACAACGATATTCATACTATTGCATTTTCAAACTACTTTTAAATATTGAAGCACAATGCGTCGTTCATGTTTATTCATACAGTTTCGCACAACACTACTCACCGTGCCGTGGCTTTTTCATTTATATTTTGTTATAGGTTCGTTGCGCCCAAGTTTATCGTAAATAAAATGGTGCATCTTGTGGCGGTTTGTTATTCAATCATTTTTATTCGATTGTTTATCCCTGAGTATTTGCTGATTTTTTATAGTATCATTCAGTATATCCACTTCTCCAATTCACTTCTACAATATCTCTATCTATTCTTTCAACCCAGGTTCGAAAAGATATATCTATGTAGCGATCTCAATGAAAATGATTCCATTAGTCTTGACGTATGTGATTTCTAAAACCCTTCTGCTTGGGCCCAAAATTTGAAATATAGCTGGAGGAAGGTTTGTCAAGGTTTGAACAGTAAACCTCGCTTTATTCTGCTTCAAATTCAAATGCTTGATTTACATTTAGGAATCCCCACTGCATCAAATCCCGAAATATCAGAAGCATTCCCACTGATTCCACCTGAACCTTCAAATAGACGAGATGTGGCATCTGGAGCAAGACCAAAAACAACAGGTAAAAAAGGTATCCGGTACCGTATAGCAGTGGTTCCCAACCACCGTGCCGCGGCATACTAATGTGCCGCGGAATGATTATTGGTGTGCCTCGGAGAGATTTCATTTTAGAATTCATTTCAAGTGATTCCGATTTACAATGACAGTTGAAAGTTAGCATGTCAATTTACAGACGGCATTTTAATTTGAAACCTTGAAAGATAATGAGAGTAAACTAAGTGTGTGTGTGTGCGATGCTGTAGTGGATGGGTGTTCCGTGTTCAGCACTTGGGGAGTGTTTGTGCGCGCGCAGGACTATCGACATCGAACTCTTGGGCGGGCACTTTCCATAATATTTGTGGGAAGAACTTGGATTGCCAGCTAAAAAAAAAGGCGTCGTTTATTGTTACGTAACAATGACCTTTCGATACCACTCTCTTGAGTATTAGCTTGTCATTTTACTATTCATATATCCAGTACACAGGCCGCTTTACTGGACACTGAACTCACACGTCACTAAACCGATCCCTTGAATTCCGCGAGAATTACCCAACGGTTCTTGCTAACAAAGAGAAACGAAAACTTTTAGAAGTCAAATTTGGTTATTGTTTCAATTGTTAGTTTTGTATAAAGCGCATTAAAAATGTCAAACAATGTAACAAATTATTTTGCAAAATTTTTTCCAAATTTTACCAAGGAATTATTTTTTGACTAGTAGAATTGCTATTATTCCTGATTTATTGAACTCAAAATAACATTCAGCATTCACGCAATGACTTTGAAGGGTTTTTATTCTCTATTTATTACAAAAATAAAACAGCCACGATAGAAAAGTAAAATCATAAGAAGGTCAGCTATTGTCTTCATAAATATCCACGTTCCGCCATCAGAAATGATAATATTGTTAGCCCAAACTTGGGACAGTTATTAATTTCAAACGGGGATGAGGCGATGTGTTGTGGCGATGTATTGTTCATGTGCATTAGCACAGTTTTGGACAACGCTACCCACTATGCTATTGCATTTCATTTATTTTCCAAGTTTCGTTGCATCTAAGTAAATATCGAATAGAAGAGCGCCACCATGTGGCGAATTATTGCTCAATGCCATTAGCACAGTTTGGGTCAATGCTACCCAATATGCCATCGCATTTCATTTTTTTGTTCAAGTTTTGTTCCACCTAAGTGAATTTTAAATGAAATTGAGCCGCCATGTGGCGAATTAATGTTGGCGTCCATTAGCATCGTTTATGTCAAGGCTACCCATAATGCCATTGCAGTTCATTTCTTTTTCAAATTTCGTTGCACCCTACTAAATTTCAAACGAAAATGCGCCACCGTGTGGCAAATTGCTGTTTACGTCCATTAACACAGTTTGGGTCAACGCTACCCACTGTGCCAATGCATTCAGTTTCGTTGCACTTATGTAAATTTTCAATGAAATTGCCCATCATTTGGCAATTTGTAATTCGCTTCTGTATATCTGTGCGTATATTCTATCGTTTATCTCTGGTTATTTGCGGACTTGTCGTATAATATATTATATTCATTGTATTCCCAGCTTCAGTTTGTTCTGTTATTTAGTTCTTGTGTTGGGTTCATTAAACCTAAATAATTTGTCAATACCATTCGTATTTCGAAGCACCGAAGAAAAAGTTTGATATTTTCCTTTGTCAACTTCACAATATGCTCAAAAACTTTTTATTCTTTAACAGCCTACGATGTAATATGTCCTAAATCACCAAATTAGGTGTTAACCTTCTCTGTCCATGGCTTCCATTTCCAAGTAAAAATTCATTCCCCATGTTTTTTTACTTTTGTACAATACTTTATTTACTCAAGAAAAAAATTAACTTTAATATGACTCTGCGTCTCCTTAATTGAGAGCGTGGAAACTTGCAACAATGGTGCCCCTAGCAGTATTTTCCTCGTCAATATACCGGTTCGGCTATGTCTGTGCTATTTCACAAATTCTTTCAAAAGTCAACGAACAGCTTTTTGACCTAATTTTCCAATTAATAATGACAGATCAACAGAGTCGCCCAACAGCTGGACAGATTGCAACAAGAGATTCTCCTCTGCATCCAGAACGGACTGAAACGGTGGATTCCAGGGACAGTCAATCAGGTATTTAAATTATAAAATAAAATATTGGCAGAAAACTCGAGTGTCAAAAATGTTGCTTGCGTAATCGTCGAAGTGATTCGGTCACAAAATAAATTCTTCAGGCCCTGTATATAACGTATTCACTTACCTAAATTATTTTAAGGAATTCTCCGTACCAGTATTGCAAATGAAACAAATTTATTTATATTTCCAGATCGACCATCGGTGCGATTTTCATCTCAACATGAAGTAGAGGAGAGAAGTTTTGTTGGTGAAGATACTGATGTAACAATTCCTAAAGCTATTGGTAAGTTATAAATCTTCCATTCGTGGACAGGTGTTATTGCAGGTATAAGTGATTCCTGTAGTTCTGCCTTGACTGATAAGAAAAATTGCTGTGACCAGAACTGCCATGACAAGCGCTAAACGAGAATATTGGGGAGAGACCGAAGACTTATCGATCGAAAGTTAGGGGATCCCCCAAAACAGGCTCTTACTTCATAGTGACACCTTGCGTCCCATCACTAATTAATCAATACCTCGCTAATTATACGATATAATTCATCCAAAATCGATAGGCTTCTGGTTCGACATATGATGAATGCACATGCAAAATCTGGAGCAGATTCAGTATCGCTTTTGTGAGATATTGCGTGCATCTAACAGACAGACATACAGACAGACAAATACCTATACAACATACAACATAAGTATTAAACCGATCGCTCTTTCTTTACAAAATTCACAATAGAAACACTTTCATGTTTCACTTTTCAAGTTTAAGCTCATCCATTGATATTCAATATTCAGGGAGTCCTACATCACCAAGTCCAATATACGACCGAGATTTTCAGCAAGCAATTCCGTTCCCTGGAAGAACGGAGCATCAACATAGGCGCGATGTGAACATACAATCAGGAGCAAGACCTAAAACTACAGGTTAGCTTTCACGTTTATTTTTGCTTTTTCTTCATGCTGAAGAAGGCTCCAGACAATCAACTACAGCGGCATCAATATTTTGACTCTGCTATTCTCCCTTAGAACTCTGACACGACTGACATTACGATTATGGCTACAAGTTTCCCTCTCGAGAAATTACCCATCTTCCATGGCTGAAAATACAATAACTAAAGAAAATAGGTCCGTGTATCATAGATAAATCATTTTTATAATAATTTGATTTATTAGATGATTTGTTAGAGATTTTAAATATGAGTGGATCTGAGCCTTATCGTTTACTTTCTTAGTCTTATAAATGCAAAGCTGATTACAGTTTGACAACTCTTCATGTTGTTTACTCAATAATATTTTAATTGCGAGGATTTATAAATAGTATGACTAAGATATTACCACACTCATTTCTATTAATCAAATACCACAATTGAAATGGGCTCCAACGTCAGTCGTAACATCATTCATTGAGGTTTTACAATTAGTATTTCGTTCACAGGCGCCGGTATGCGAGTCAGATATTTGCCAGAACAAGATGAAACAAGTGAAGATGAAACATCTGAAGGTGACTTGAGGCATTGACTATAATTTCTCTGTTGCAATATTCTGAATCTGGTTGAATTGTTCGCCGAACAGTTAATAAAAACGAACTTTCTAACATGTTACAACAAAATCAGGAAATATCAGGTGTTGGATTCCCGCTCCGTTATTCCCAGTCGTTGTGTTTAGCTCTATCGTCCTATTGTCTAAACCAGACATGGACCGAATTCGGCCCGTTAAGTAATTCAATCTGGCCTGCCTGATGCTGCAACAACCAAACTGAAATCAAATTTTGATGTTTTAGCTGAAGTAACTCAAGAAATTTGTTGGCGATTGCGATTAAATTTATTTTTTACCACCACTCATTGTTTTTCACCTTTGCTCTGTAGTACTGTAAATAGTGTTCATAAAATGTAGCTTTTTACTTCACACATTCATGGCCCGCCAGTCTACGTAAACACATTTTTTGGCGCTTTGTTTAAAAAACGTGCCCACCCCTGGTCTAAACTGACGGGCCGATCTGGTTGGAATTTCTCATGTGGGTTATACAGGCAATGTGCGTTTCACCAAAAGTCTGTATTAATGTTTCGCTGCCATGGCAGCAGAGTAAGGCATCGGCGGAGATCCATACTTACTCCCACCAGCTTGTTGAATCTTATACTTACCATTTGCTTAGATTTCTCGATATTGAATTCATATATTTTTTCCTTTGATGGTGCGTATTCTGCTTTATAGGAATCGATAGTGAAAACGAACTATCCGACATTATGAAAGATTTTATCAAATATAAAAAATACGTCTCTGAAGAAAAATCGCTGTTTACAAGAAAATCAGAAAGAAGAAAGTCTAGAGGTATGTTTAACAAGTTAGTGTGCATTTGCAATGATTGTTGCTTGAACACCACAAAGCCAAATAAACAAATTTCATTACTCCTGTATTATGTGAACCAAGATGGCGGACACCGTAACGTAGTATGTGTACCAGGTTAGGGTTAGGCCATAATTTTATTCCAATTTTCCTTATTTTAGTTCTATTACGAGTTCAGGGACAGGCGAAGTTACTCCCGTAGTATTTGTATCTGAAATTATGACCTAGCCCTAACCTGGTACACATACTACGTTCCGGTGTCCGCCATCTTGGTTTGCATACTACAGGAGTAACTAAATTTCAGCTTTTAATAAATCCTAAAAATTGATCAGTATGACAGATAAATAATTATCAGTATGAGTGAATACCTCGACCTTTCCTATTTAAATTTGATGAAACATTCACCAGTCTAGTTAAACACCTATTATTGAAAAATTATTCGGGCGATTAGTTTTCTTTTGCATTACAGTTGGAATGGTTTGAAACTAAATCACTGAGTTAATGGAGAATATAAATTGTATACAATCGCTGAAATTTGGCAGAAAGTACACTAACCATAAATCTTCTTTCATTATTTGTCTTTTATGTTTTAAAAGCTTCGTATTCAAACACCTGCCATCAACTTGCAGTCATGCTGATCTTTCTCTTTGCAGACCGAAAGACCACCCATCAAGCGCCAACTACATCGAGATCTCGGTCAACGGGTTCTCGTCGCCAGAGAAATGAAAGACAGTTTTCATCGACAAATCGTGTGAGATCAAAAAGTGCAGGTTGGTTTCATCTACAGTGTTACTGTGGTACAGTCAACTGTTACTTTGGTACAATCTTGATGAATTTTAAAAATCATGAACTCTTAATTTGAGATTCGACGCCTCACATCTTATGTTCTGAAATTTTCAACATTTACAATTCATTGTAATTGTGATGCAATGTTTGGGGTAAATGAAGTCATTGGTCCGATCAAGGACGAATTGTAGTCATTGAAACGGCTTCTGTCACCCACTTAAAAATTCGATGCCACTCATAAAACGAAACACCTATTGCGACTCAAGGCCAGAGATAAATCATAATATATTAGTCTTATATTAGTCCCTATAAAGTCTTATTAATAGGATCTGTTATTCTTATCTAAAATATTTATTTCTGTTTACAGATGCCAGATATTTGTCGAGCTTGGATGAAGCAAGCGAAAGTGGCGATTGTGGGGAATCGATACATGTTATTGATCCTGCAAAAGGTGAGTTTATTGGATACTGCTTGTAAGCAACTGTGGCATAATATTAATTTTGAAGCCTCTTAAATACTCATTTTAAAAAATAAATATATATTTTGCAACCTTACGACATAGGACACACAAAGTTCACGATGTAACTTACTTAATGCTCTCTCAGATAGTAATAAGAGACAATTCTCCACATTTCCTATTTCTTACCAACACATGAACCTCACACCTGAATAGCAGATAAATCGATAAACTATGTGATGCCAAAGGCGTCCTCATGTCATAACACCCCACCCATAATGAAGTGAATCGGCAATATTTATTAAAAGCTAACTTTATAAATATTGTCGTTGTTTCATTTACAGAGAGTGACAGTGAAAGTGAATTATCCAGCATTGCCAAAGACTTCGTGGCCTACATAAAACATAAAACTAACCCAAAGTTTTCAAGACAGATAAAGAAAAGTTATTTTGAAGGTGAGGCCCAAACAGACTTCAATTAGTTTCTGCGTTACAACTTTGTTTATTTGTCTGTGTGCTTAATACCTGTTATCTTTTCATTGGGGCTTGAATTGTTTTTGTTAATATTTTTTTTTACTCAAAATGGTTTTGGTCGTACAGCGGGCTAGGATGAGTATAGCTCATCCCTTTCTTCCTAGACCAAAATCATAACTGGGAGGTGATGGGTCATTTTGAAACGTTGTTGAGATGCCTCATCGTACAAGATGTAAAATATTTTTCATACCATATGATTGTATACTGTTTATATAATTTCCAACTATTTTTAGACCGATCCTTCACCAACAATTCCTCGCAAGAGTGCCAAGTCAATCTCGATCGTGAAAGAGATGGAATGAACCCAACAGATCAGACACAACCGAGTGGTAGAGAACTTCGTGTAAAGAAACGCGATACAAGTGACAAACATTTACAAACAGATGATCCAAACTATAATAAAGAATATGAGACTTCGGTACTGAAAATGACTGAGATTTACAAGAAAGAACGGGATATACAAACATTAAATAAGTTTAAGTCTCTCTTGCCTTTCATTGAAATTTTCTGGACTAAGATTTTATTTAAAATGACAATGGCTGGTTACAATCATCCATCCGGGGCTCCGGAAAAACTATGGTCAAATTTCACAGATGAAATTACTTGTGATCGAGGTTCAGAAATAACAATGAAACCGTACATTTCAAAAATAAAAGACGTCATGAAACTAGGCGAAGAATTCATTTCCAGCGGTAAATACATTCATGCTATAGTCGCGTTCTATGCAGCTGCTAAACTTCATCGACAAAGCGGAAAAGGCAACGAATCAGTGAAAGGTATATGGACTTGCTTCGATAGAGCAGGGTTTGTTGCCGAAAAAATGCAAAAATCTGTGCAAACTGCAAATGTTGCCCAGAATCACGTGATTCCAATTATGCATGAAATGACTGACTTTCTGAAGCCTATTCACAGTCAAAGTCAATTTGCAGAAGAACTGGAAAACAAATCAAAAGAATTTGTCGAAGAGAAGAAATTCATTTCAGCCACAGCCGCATTATACGTCGCAGCCAAACTGCACAAAGAGACAAATGAAGGCGATAACTCAGCTCATGGTGTTCTGTCATGCATTGAACAAATAAGCTTAGTCATGGTAGAAATGATAAAACAGAAACAAACAAAAACCCTAAGTCATGTGATATCACTCATTACTGAAATGATAGATTTCATTGGAATGATTGAAATATCAAACTACAGTCAGTTTATCAATGAAATAATAGGCAAAGCCACAGAATTCTATTCAGAGAAAAAGTTTATTCCATCTGTTATTTCATTCTACGTCGCTGCTAAACTACATGGACTTGATAATAAGGGAGTTCAATCGGTGATAGGAATTGGACGATTTTTCAAACAAATACGACTCGTTGTTGAAAAGATGACAAAACAACATTCAATGAAAAAGATTGTCATAGATCATGTGATACCACTCATGCGTGAATTGTTAGAGATTGTACAAACGATAAAAGGTTCGACTCATGAAGTCAGAGTAGAGAAGGAGGCTCGGTGTTTATTTAACATCGGTCTTTGCTACGGTTACTGCGATGAACATCAAGAAGATGCGAACATAAACAATTCCGCGATTATACTTATAGAAAGACAACTTGAAGAACCTCAAACATATCGAATATATGGAAGTTGTCTCAATAATGCAGGATATGCGTATGATAGAATGGGAAATATAGAGAAAGCGATTGAATTGTATAAAATGTCGTTGGAAGCATATGCGAATGCTGAAGATTTTTCAAGTGATAAAGATAAGAATAAAGAAATTGAACGCACAAGAAATAATTTGAGAATTGTTGAATCCAAGTTGCCCAAATAGGTTTATCGGTCGGTTTAGTGAAATTAAGATCGATCTAGTGTGGACCAAAGATGAAACGCACTATGTTGGAATCGCAAAAAACTCTAATTCCATCGCCTCACCCAGTGTGTCAATAATGTTGAGACAGAAAGATATCTGTCTATATAATAATAGAAGCTCTTCACTTATCAGTGTTTGCTGGTACAAAGCCTTGTTCGAAGCGAAAGTGTGAAAAGTCTGATAAAGAGAACATCTATGGTCCATACTTGATTTTGTATTTAGTGATAAAGTATTCGATTAAATTTTCAAAGTCTGCTTGAAATAAATTTAAGAGTTTAAAGAGCAAGGCTTTAACACACTACTCCCCACATATGAGAAGTCTTCGCCAAACAAGCCTATGTGGAAGCACTCACTGATTTGTGATATTTCATTCAACTTGCTATTAAACCGAAGGTAATTGATTAGGTAATTGATTCTCCTTGGAATATTCATGTTAATATTAATATATATTTTAATGCAGCAATCAGATTCTTGTGCTAGGATTAAACTTTTGGAATGAACAGATTTTTCTTGATAGCATTGAAAATTAAAAAATCATTTAACAGGAAATATAAGTGACTTTTACTATTCTTGTTTTGCAGCAAACTTTGTTTTACCGTTGTTTATCAATTCATATGAAATTTTAGTTTACATTACAATTTGTTTAACAGTGATTTACTAATCCCCATATTACCAATACGCTGTTCATTGTATTTTATTATATATTTTGCAAAGCTCTCATTTTGTAAATAAGCAAAAGCCATACATGGCCCATTTTAAAATTTGAATCCAGATCTTCCCCCTGACACTAGATTCACTTCATATCCGGTTTCCTACTTTGAGGAAAGATTGTTGACTCCAAGTCCGATTTCCCTCTTAGGTTTGGACGCCAGAATAAATTTCCTTTGGTTAACTGAATTTGATTTATGATAATTATGGAATTCAGAATAGTCATTTACCCATTTCCCTGACTTTAAGAACTTTAAAAGTAGGATTCGTCCCCAACACTTATAAAAAGTCAAATCTGTTTCCCTAGTTTTGTTTCTCGTTTGTAGCGATTTTAAAATCCGAAATGGTCGTTACAGCGGACTATGAATAGCTTGATTTATATATTGTCAACTGTCATGAGATTTCTGATTTCGTTTTGGATATTTTTGACCTCCCAAAGTAACCTTTCACAGGAATTTTTTTATGATTGTGTGTAAATAAATTGTCACTGAGCTTCTAGAAATGATTTTAGGTATTTTTCGTAACCCTCCCAATCTTTAATATTGGAGGAAAATTTTTGTTTTTTTCATTTGTATCAGCGATGCATTTGTTTTTTTTATTCCAATGTTGTTTTTTACAAAGATTATCTAGTTTAAGAAATGGATAAAAGTACAAATTAAAGCACGATAAATGCGGTTTTAGCCAGTTTTTCAATTGTTTTTCATAAAATTACTTCACTGCAATGTTTCTTGTATTGAAATTTGTTCATTATATCATTTGTTTTATTACAATTTATACTGATTTAAAAGCTATTTTTCATACTTTGATATTTCATAGCTTTTGTGGTTGGTTTCCTTGGCAGGTATGTGTGGGGAACCAGACTGCTCTTTGTGCTTTGGGTGTGGCCGGAGGAGCGGCTACGGCAGTCTCCCATAATTGCATTAAAAATTTTATTCGAGGTTCCCATCGCGTCTAGAGGGCCTGGTGCGGACTTCCTGACAGTGTCGGCTAACTTAACTTCACCGTCTTTTCCGACACTGTGTTCTTCTCTGTTTTTTTGTCTTTCTCGATTAGTATTGGTGAGTTTGTGAGCTTGCAAGTGTGTTTCGTAATCAAATTATTCATATTCGTCCGGTTGATTCCCATCAGTGGTTTCTCTGGGTCGTTTGAGCTCTTAACTTATTTTTTTTTGTATTTTCTCCGATTCTCCACCACAAACTGACGCCCGGCGATGGGGTAGATGACATATATATATATTAGTTTATACCGCTTGCCTTAATTATCCCAATTTCAATATGCAGTTATTGCAACACTTATCAACAGGAATTTATTAGTTTGGTTATTAAATTTCTCTACTTTCACTGTTTCAGAATTCCAACCAGGTTGATAGGAAAAAGCGAGCGGTAATTATAATTCAGTTACATTTTCTTCATGTTTAGAACCCATCGCCGAGTTAGCCAGCCCATCACAACAATTTTATATTTGTTCATTTTGCATAAAAACTGACTTCAAGATTTCGTTACTTTCAACTTTTATTGTAAATATGTCATTAGCTTCGTTGCTCTTATGAGGTGCTGAATGGTCATCGTTGTTCGCATATATACATATACAAATATATAATCTTTGTGCATGAAAAGAGTGTCATTCTATGTAAAACATTGTTGTGCGCAGTCACTCGTGAATCAAACTCATTTCGGACTAAAGTTATTGGCGATCAGTGAGGTGCCAAAAGCTACTGAGATTATAACAAATTATAGCAATTAACTGTGCATTAGTAAATACCCATCGACCGGCATGAATCTTTGTGTCTTGTTGGTCACACTTGCACCAAATGTATGAGAAGTCACAGCCAAACGTGTATGAGAGCTGAGTACTTGTGTGGAAAGAATAAGACGAAACTTATTCCATGGAATGAAGCGTTTATTTATAATTCACATAAATCATAATTTAATTAACCATAATGATCATGCCCATGCCGTTAGATTCATGATAAGACCTATCAAAGGCTTGCAATAAGCCAAAATCACTGGACCATGACTGAAGGGTAAGAGAAAAAATTTCTTGAAAAATGCATTAAACTAGTTTTTCCCAACGTACCTATGTACTTTTTTTCTCAATATCTTTATTTTGAATCGCGCAACGTTCCGAACTCACTGGAGCGTTACAGGGAGGGGAAAATCCCAAATTTCCGGTGGTGAAATATTCCAATAATTATTCTCTTTGATATTTGAGCATCCCTATGCCCGAAATCTCATTCCAAGTGCTCCTAATCGTCCAAATACATTATAAACCGAGGGGGCGTGGCTTTCCACACGTTTTCTCGCCACTGGGGAGCGGAGGCAGTGCCCCAACCCCCAATTATACCTGGACAAATTCCCAATACTCGGGCAAACGCTTTCAGGCCCCGGAAACGGAGCTCAACGGCCTCTAAATACCAAAATCACTATAGCGTGGCTTGATTGACAACTCGATGTCAATAAATAAACGAAATTTATCAGCAACTAGTGTGCAACAAGGGAAAATTTTGTACGAAACCCCCGCAAAAAACAGTATTCCCGAAGTATGCGAACCAAGATGACGGACACCGAAACGTCACTCGGCTAGTCACCGAACTCATAATAGAACTAAACTAAGGATAACTGGAATAAATGCAGAATGAATGCAGTTAGTGTTAGGAATACTGATTGAGCTGGAAATTTAAAATTTTTGACTTCTTTCCTTATCCCAGCCGGTTGATTACTTATTTGTCATTTTGAAAAGTGGCGGCGATGATTTACGGAAATCTCATATTTTTGCGTTAGTGGCGTGGGCTTTCTACAAAACATCCGAAAACTGACCCGATAGAACCATATGAAAGATTAATGGATGAGATGACAAGAATGGCCGCGAGCAAAAAGCTTCACTCGGTACGACAGTTTCCTTCACCCTCGATTGATAAATCCAATCCAACCACGTTTGTGTTTATAAATAATTATTTTTTTCAATTTTCCCTTGCAATTTCCCTTTTAATTGCAAATTCACAGCGACCTTGCATTATTGTCATAAAATGATATAGACCAGCGGTTCCCAAACTATGGGTCGAGACCCACTGGTGGGTCGCAAAAGAAATCTTAGTGGGTCGTGAAAAGGTGTAGAAAGCTTCGATTAATTATACTGGTTATACTGATCGGTGGCGACTCGAATACGTAAATCTTCAAAAAACAAAAGAAATTAAATTGTATTTAAATTCTAATCTGTGAAAGTTTCCTTTTTACCATCTTTTCAAAGGAACAAAAATATGCTACACAAAGAATGACCATGTGGCTTTTTTTACGCATAGCAGTTTTGTACACTGTACAGCACTTCTTACCGTGTTTCCCCGAAATTTAAACAGGATTTAGATTTATTTTCTTTTGAAGAATAACACTATGTTTCTTTGGAATAGGTCTTTTGTATTCATTTATCAAAAATAAAATTTCATTGTAGAAAATCACAAAATTTTTTACTAAACATTATATAAAAACCGACATCCATTGTTTTTATTTGTATTTCCTATACAAAAATCAAGTGACAAATATCATAATTGTGATATCACACAATCTTGAATAGTGGCGTGATCTTCACCTTACCTCAGGCCAATTCCCACACATCAGGCCAATGAATCTTTCTTCTCTCACATATTTTAAATTTATTTCAAGGTTAGGGTTTAATTAAAATCATTTTGAAAATTCAAATTATTATCATATTTTCAGGCCAGGTCTTCATTTCGAGGAAACACGGTAGTTTTGCGATGATTAGCCATTGCTGTGTTCTGTGTTATGTCATAAAAGTTAAATAGGTCGCCATAAGCTGTGGTAATAAATAGTGGGTTCCAACTCTAAAAAGTTCGGGAACCACTGATATAGTCTATCATGTCTTAACATTCAGTTGAAAATAAGCAGGCGGGTTCACTTCAATAATTCCCAACTAGATTTATTGCAACATCAGTCAAGTAACGCCGACTTCTCGGCTACGTCAGTCAAGTCATGATGATAATGATGATGATATAACAGTCAGAGAATATAACGCAGCGATGCGTGATTTGTTTACAAACAATGCTTCAACAGTTGGTGTCGCAGATTGAAATCCAATAGTTATATCAAGGATGAACAATATCATTTTGGATAGTAAAAAGAAGAGTTAATAAAAAAAGTTTCAATAATCGAATCATAAGGTGTATGTATGCCAAGGTATTGAATTTTTTATTATTTTTAATGTTGATGCTAATGCATAAAGTCGACCGAGTTCAAGTGCAA